TCCCACACCTGCAGAGAGGGCCTCCCACACCTGCAGAGAGGGCCTCCCACACCTGCAGAGAGGAACCTCCCACACCTGCAGAGAAGGCCTCCCACACCTGGAGAGAGAACCTCCCACACCTGGAGAGAGTACCTCCCACACCTGCTGTCAGTACCAGCACATGGCAAGGTTGCTGGCCTTGGGGCGTGGGCACCAGGCGAGGACGAGCAAGCTGGCTTGCAGCGGGGCCAGCCTCACCCACGGGCGGCCTGCACATCAGCTCTGCAGCCCACAGTGAACCTCTGCAACTGGAAAAGCCCACCAAGGCCTCAGCTTCCTCTGTCCCAGCCCTTGCTGCCTCTCCATCTCCTCTGAAGTAGCCCAAGGTGCTCTGGTGAAGTCCCCAGCAACAGGGGCTCCTTGGGCCTCTCAGAGCCTGGGCCCAGCCCTTCCACCCTTCTGGGTGCCCGGGTTCATCGGCTGATGTCGTCAAATGAAAACCAGCTGCTCTGCTCTGCCCTGCGAAGCTGCGTCTGTGAGAGCTCCCGGACACACTTCCCCTTTCCCTTGTGGGAACCGTGCAGTGATCTGGTGGAACAGTGCTCCAGCCCAGCTCCTGCTGCCCGGGAGGTGGACACACCGTACAACCACCTTTCTGAGAAAGGAGCCAGTCTCTGAATGGCCGAGATGAAGTTGCCTTGACGGGTTTTCCTGCTTCTGCTCAGAGGCAGAAGAGAACTGCCCAGGAGCCAGAAGACAGGTGCCCCTGGACTCCAACAGATGCCCGAGAAGCTGACCTGGACGGCACCAAGAGAGCAGAGAGCAAGCAGGAATGCTCCCAACCTGCCCATCCACCCTGCTTTCTCAGACTCTGTCCACAGCACCGCGGGGAGTGGTGGCCGCCCTGTGCCCCGACTGCAATGCTGATCCTCAGCACCCAGGGCTGGTTCCGGTCACCGTGAGAAGCAGGAGGGTATCCTGAGGCTTGGCCCTTACTTTGGTCATCCATTGATTCCCTGGCCTCAACACGCACTCATTCAGCGAGGCTTATTCTTCCAGCAGACATTCTCGACCACCTTCCCTGGTCAAGCACCGGCGGGTCCTGGATCCCCATGGGAAGCAAGCGTTTGTGGTGTGGAGCGGGTGGATGAGGGAACCCAGACATCGTTCCTGCCTCTGAGGCCGGGCTGGTCCTTCCTGGGGGCCATGGTCAGCAGAGGCACTGCCGCAGTTCTGGAGGGTAAGTGCTCCTTAAGAGATGGGCTTGGGGGAATGGCCCCGTGGTGACACAGATGCTCCCTGGGGGACCCGGGAAGCCTCTCCCAGCAGGGGGTCTGTGGGCAGGGGGCAGAACAGTCAGCCTTTGAAAATCTAGATTGGGGGTCTGAAGTCCTCAGCCAGTGGTCAGTGGGGCAGCCCTGCAGTGGCAAGCTTGCCAGGGAGGTACGGACAGTGGGGACAGAAGGCTCGTGGTCAGAAGCCTGGGGGCCGGGACCCACAAGCCACAGAGTCAGCAGTCAGAGCCCTCTTCCCAGCCGGGTGGCCGGGATCCTAGAGCATCGCGCTGGACCTGCCCCATGTTTCTACCCTATTTCACCTCTAGGCTCGGGGGAAGGGCTGATGGTACTTCAATTGCTGGTCTTTAATGGCAGAGCCAGGGACGTCGTGACACTGACACTCCGGCTTTCGTAGCTGGAGTTGCAGAGCTGAAGAGAGCCAAGGGCGTGCTTTTAAGGGGTGAGTCCTCCCGACCCGGGTGAGATCAGGCGGGGCCCTCCACCTGCAGCAGGTCCAGGTGTGCATCCCAACGTCCTGATGTCACCCCAGTGTGCTGTGAGGACACAGTTGCTGGCAGGTGTTGCTATGAGCAGGGCCCATCAGGGACTGTGACAAATTCCCTGCTGCATGTCCTCACGGGGTCTCAAAGCCAGTGAGAAGCGCGGCTGAAGATTTTACTTTGGCTTATACAGGAAATAGTCAAAAATGGCTACTCCAGGAGTTGGAGCCTATATCAAGTGAAAAACTATTAAGCAAAAATGTTTAAAAATGATACTGAAATTTTAATGAAATCATACTTATTAATTTATTGATGTAAGTGAAAAGGACATAGATCAATTTTCTTACAATAAATTGACTGCTGCTGCAGGTGTCCAAGCCATCAGCAAACAGCCGGCTACTGCGAGGCCAGTGACATTCCTGGTGGCTTCTCTTGTATTGCAAACCCAGCTCCATGCCCTTGGGGGAAACTCTTGCTCTAATGCCTGTCCAGAGAAGTCCTGTCGTCTTCAGAGGTGCATTCCCCTGGGGACGTCAGACAAATGCGTGTTCATTGGGAAGTCCATCCAGTGTGCTAGAGAAGAAGCCAAGAGCAGCAGGCCCCTGTCCCTGTGGACACTCCCGTCCTCCACCCTGCCAGCACAGCGGCTCAGAGGACCCCGCGGGGTCTCTGGAGAGTGCCTGGAGGCTGGGCCCCTCACCTGGAGGGCACCTCTCTGCAGGGCCCCTTCGGCCCCAGCTGGTGCTCTTTCCCTCAGAGGAAGTGTCCTCCAAGGAATTCATTAACAGAAATTCATCCTCGTCCTCATGTGGCCCAGGTGCTGCTCTATGTGACGTACACGCATTGGGCCATTTTATCTTGGCACAGCCCTATGAGGAGCATACACTGTCACCTTCAATACACAGGACAAGAAACTGGACACCAAGGGCTGAGTTCACTTGCACCAAGTTCTGTGAGCCCCGAGAGGCTGTGCAGGACTCCAGCCCTGTGGTCTGACCCCCGTTCTGCCTTTCTCTGCTGCGTGCTGATCTCGCCTGGCCGCGCACCTGGACTCTAGGGCTCAGAAGGGCTCCCTGCACTGGGTCCCTTTTAGTAACTCAGGCCACTCTTTGAAACCCCTTCCTGCTGTCTGCTGGGACCTGGCAGACTCTGGCGCACAGATGGCTGATGGAGTGGGAACCATGCTCCCCAGAGGACGCCGAGATGTTGGGGCTTCGTTTTTGTGGGTGATCCAAGGGCCCTCACTCCCAAGAGCGGTCTGCGGCGTATTCCAGACAAACCCTGTTCCTCCTCCAGGGAGGGATGTCAGATCTGTCCACAGCACCTGCAAAGGTCTGTGTCCCAAAGAGTATCAAGCAGTGGCCCTGGGGGCGTTTCCTCCTCCACCTGGCTTGGTGCAGGACTGCCGTGCTGGTCAGGACTGTTGGCAGTAGACGGCTAAACTTCCTTTGCTTACTGAGCGATAACAAAATGCCAACTTGGAGTACACATAGAGAAAGTCAAAATGTTTAATGATCTTTATTGAAATATTACTGATGTACAATTGTTATAATGAAAACATTACAGCGAGTAAAAGTTAGTTGATATTTAAGTGATTTTTGCTTATGGATGTGTTTGTCCCTATTGATGATTAATTGCATAGGAAATGATACAATCGATCAGGTAGCAAAGCACATCCGTCCTTTAGTTGAATAAAAAGCCAGAACAGAGTGAGGATCGCCTTTTTTCCTGACCTGGTCAGTGCTGGTAAGCAGTCATGTTTTCTCCCCAAGTTTCTGCTGATGCACCTGATAGAAATCTTTATTTCAATGCTATAAACCCTTCTTATTTTGCTTGGATTAATTTATCATTTGGGAAATATTTGTTTTCTTAGCTTAGAGGATTGCTTAAGTACATATGAGGGTGATGGAGGAAAGGTCCAGGATCTGTTTGCCTAGGGCCCCGCTGGGCCCCTGGGGGGTGCGTGAGGTTTGCTGAGACAACGCAGGCGGCGGGGCCAGAGGCACCTGACACCTCCACCCTTCGTTGCATGGATGTGCTCAGGTACACGGAGCCCGGACTGTGGACAGATCCTCAGGGAGGTGGCTGCCTGCAAGCTTTGCCCAGGATTTAATCAACGGGGGCCAGTGAAGCAGTCTTGTTGCTAGGACTGGTCCAGGGGCTTTAGGGATCGGCAGAGCCTCTTCCTTCCTCCCTGCTCTCTGCAATTCCTCTGCTCGGTGCCTCACCTGATACCAGTCACTTGCTTGGGGCAGGGCAACCATGACCTCCGCTTCCCAGTGATCTGAGTGCATGCTGCGCTCACCCTGGTTAAGTGATGGCTGCTGAAATTGTCAGCTCACCATTGATCAAGGGTATGAAGAGCACTTCTGGGCTACCAAAGGCCTGGCCCTGCTCCAGAACCCCAAGGCCTGAGCTTCCCCTCTTGGAACTGACAGCCTGTGAGTCATTCAATAATTCAGGCAAAGCAGCATTCCCAGACCTGACACAGGCTACCTCCAAAATCCCAGGAGGCAACCCGGTCTGCCTGCTGCTGCAGCAGGAATCCACAGACTGGGGAAATTACAAATAGCAGAAGTTTATCTGGCTCCCAGCTCTGGGGGCCAGGCAGCCCAGGAGCCTGGCACAGCCTCAGGGGGGGCCTTTTATGCACCAGAACCTGGCAGGCTTGGCCCTGCTCAGGCACCTGCTCCTGGGATGGCCAGCCCTCTCCACCAGGACCCACTCAGCCGCTGAAGCCAGAGCTCTCTGGCGCCCCGCGAGGTGCTTGCTGCCCGTTTCAACGCACTTCAGCTTCACGTGAGTTTTGGAGGGAACTTCAAACCTTGCAGAGGCTAAGGCAGGTGAGTGCTGGTCATTCCTGTTCCTGGCCATTGGCCAGCCCACAGGCCTGGAAGTGCTGGAACCTGGTGGGACTTGTCACATCCATCTCTGGCATGAAGTGCCTTAGGGGCTCTGAGTCTTTCCTACCTCCGTCCACTGTGTCCAGTCAGCAGCAGCACCGGCTATGGTGCAGTGGACGAGAGGGATCTCTCTTGGGCCCCTGCAGTGTTCAGTGTGGAGATCAAAGCATGTGGCCTCACCCGAGGGAAGATAATGGAGTGTTGGCCACCTCAGCAGGGTCACTAAGCATACATGGTGTACAGTAGAAGGAAAAGGCACTTCGGTTAGTGGACATTGGTGGCCACTTCAGGGCAGGGTCACAGGCAGCATGGCAGCTGTCGTTGGAGCTGCTGGTTGATGAGGCCACTCAGGAGGCTCAGGATGGCGTGTTTGGGGGACTCTTGGTCTACAGGTCCAGCAGTGGAGCAGCCTGGGGACCCAGCCCCCCAAGCTGGAGTCTGACCATGGCACCTCACTGGCGGCTGCAGGGTGGGTGGGTCTCAGTGGCAAGGTGGTGTGGGCAGAGCTGCTCAAAGAGCTTGTTAGTTAGTTAGTTAGTTTTCCATAAAGGGTTCTGAAGTGCACACGTCAGGAAACCAGTGGACTCTTCTGCCGGCTTCGGAGTGTCCACATCTCAGGTTTGCATTTGGGAAATAGCTGTCTGTAGCCACAGAATCGCTCCTCCCCAAGTCCCCAGGATCAGCTGGGTGTTGCCAGAGTTCACTGGCCAAGAGCTAAAATCGCTTCGGTGAGCAAGCTGCTTTCCTCTGAGAGTGTGGCCCTCACTTCCTCGATTCTGGTTCTAAACTGAGACCCAAGTCCCCATCTATGAGAACAGGTTGGGGCAGACTTTACAAGAGGCCAAGTCTTCTCTGAAGCATTTGCTGTAGTTAATGCATTTGGATAGTTGCTCAATCAAGGGGGGCAGGTGGCCAGTGAGGGCCAGGGTGCTTCTGTCCCGTGTTCCAAGGGACCATGAGGATTCCTGATTCTCAGACCCACTCGGGTGAATTTCCCTATTTTAGGCGCAGAGTCCCGGCCCTCTGCCGTCAGCACTGTGTCTAACGGAAAGCCCCCGTGTCTAACAGCCGGTGCCTCTGCAGTTCAGGTGGACACTCTGAGTGCGTGGCCCGCGCTGCATGGGATGACTTTGCCATGGACAGCGCTTGCTCTCACCCTGCCCCTGAAGTTGGGGTTTTGTCTTCAGAGCATCTGCAACAGGTAATTACATTGAAGGTCACCAGGACTGGATCTCACAGGGACTTCAGGGACACATTCAAATGCGTCCTGGCATTGTCCACCCACAGAGGGCCAGCAGGTGCATTCGTCCCACGTCCCTTCCCTGCTGGCAGAGACTGGCCAGCCTGCTGTCCACGGCTGCCTGGGCCCTGACGGGACGTGTTCCTGTGGTGTTCACAGACCAGGAGCCGGAGGCACAGTGAAGCCATGGGGTGCACTGGGAGCCCCCGGGATCTTCTAGTGCAGCTGGAGTCAGAGCTGGGGCCAAGGGACGTGGGAGGCCCGAGGTCTGAAGCCCAGGCAAAGCGGTTCCACAGTACCAGGGACTCGGCTGAAAACAACACCCTCACTACATGGTGAAAACATGTCCACGTCACTTTCTCTCAAGCCAGAGGGAAGGGGAAACAGGAGGGGCACAAGGAGCACCTTCCCTTAGGACAAAACGCAGAAGTCAAACTCTTTCTGTCAGCCAGAGCCCGGTCACATGGCCACGCACGGGTACAGGCAGGGGGTGTGCTCCAGTGGACTCAGAGATGCTGAGCGCCCACTGAACACCAGCGGCCCCTTCCCATAGAAGAGGCGTTTCCATCTCCCCTGCCGGAGCTTGGAGCGAGAGGTGGCTCTCAAGTTGACACAGTCTCCCGTGCTCTCACTGTGGGTCCGCGGTGGCTGGTGGAATCGCCGTCTGGAGGCGCCCAGCACAATAGAGGGCGGTCTTATAGCTGCACGTCTTTGGATATTCTGAAGGACATCCAGGTTTACATTTGTCTTCACCTAGAGTTTAGCTCCATCTTTACATAAATGTAAAATCATTAGGTACCTGAACTCTTAAAGAGCACATCTTCATTGTTTAACTGGGGGAAAAGGAATTGTATGAAGCCCGTGTCTTGCTCAGAGTTGCTCAGCACCTCAGGGACAAGCACAGGACAGACAATGAGCTGCCCCTTCCCACAGGAACAGGGCAAGCGCAGTGGAGACGGTGAGGAGAGAACTTGGGCGGGGAAAGCTGTGAGCAAGGCAGGACAGGCACGCAGAGGGGCAGAATCCTGTGAGACTGCGATGGGGGGCGGGAGGGAACCCCCACGGAGGAGCCCTTGGCAAGGGCGCTGGCTGGACCCCTTCCTGCCCTCTGGGCTCCAGGCCTGTTCTGACCCCACCTGCCACGCCCTCGCCCAGCCGTGCTCCTGCTCTGCTCCTTCTGCTGTCAGAGTCCCCTGCTCCTGCATTTCCTCCTCCTGGTCTGTTTCCAGCCAGAAGAGGTGGGTGCAGACAGGGGTGGTTGCTCCCACTGTTCGGAGCTCCTCCTCCACCCCAGCAGGTCCCTTTGGGTTTGCTGATATATTTACCCCAAATGCTCAGGATTTCAGCAGCAGAGGCTCTTCCTCTTCCTCGGGGGCAGCGTCAGGGTGAGGCGAAGTTAGTTCTGAGGGTTGCAGGCGTGGCCTGTAACAAGAATGTGCAAGACCAGGCCCCGAGCTCCCTTCCTGTGTCCCCAGGCCTCTGCCCTCTGGTAAGGGCCGTGCTTGGTCCTGGAGACAGAGACATGCGCCTGGGCCCCTCTCCTCCGAGGGCTTGTTGTCCAGAAGGCACACTGGCCAATTTTCACTTAAAATACAAAGTACACATTGAAGGTGCTGAAAAACCACAGGTAGAAATGGCCCTGCCTTTGCCTGCGAGCCCTGGGTGGAAAGAGAAAGCAGGTGGCATGGACTTTACAAGATGAACCGTTTCTCAAGACCAAAGGGATGAAGGAGAAAACACGCAGAGCTGGAGGTGGGGGTCAGCGTGCTGCCCGGGCCTGGGCGTGAAGGCTGGGGGTCAGCATGCTGCCCGAGCCTGGGCGTGAAGGCTGGGGGTCAGTGAAGCACTGAGAACTGCAGGCGGGAGAGGGACTCAGGCTGGAGGGCAGTGAGGTGGACTCTGGTGAGGCCAGTGGGCTGTGCCCTGGGCTGAGAGGTCTGACCTTGCGCAGCCCACGCGCTGCTCGGTGCTGAGCCTCTTAGAAAGGGCTGCTCAAGGAGAGGCCTTTGTTAAGTAGCAGTGTAACTGTGTCGGCAGCCTAGTGATGTGCCAGCGAGACCCTCAGCAGAACCGGTAGGTGGCGGCCAGAAGCTTGGGATGCAGCTGAGGAGAGAACCCTGAATGCTGTGGGCACTGGCCCGAGTGTCAAGGACACTCATCAACCTACGGAGAGGGCACAGGGTAGCACCCTCAAAGGGTGGGCAGAGGAGCAGGGTGAGAGGGTACCAGTGCTGAAGAGGGACGTGTTCAGCGGGGAATGTCACAGGGTCAGGGCAAACCACCACACATCTCTGCACCTCCCTGAGCCAGAGGTTAACGGGAAATTTTAGGAGAAAGGTCCAGAAAGCACGTGAGCCATGTTTAGCCCGGACGTCCCCCTCTGTGGAGAGCAGAATAATAAAAACCCCCGTCCCTCCCAGGACACCCCAGCGTGAGAGGAGGCCATCTGAAG